GATGGCGTCCGATACAAATATTAGTCATCCGCTACGATTTGCCTTCCTGCACTGAACGGTTGCATTCCCAGTGCCCATCGGTTTGCCTATACTCGTTAGCTACAAGTTTCACCCTACTGTTATTTTATGTTTGGTATGTTACTACAAACACAACTCGGAAGAGAATGTCCCGTACAATGTGGTCGATAGTTTAAGTCATCCCAGTATTGATTTGCACTGTTTTCGAAACTCATTGCTTATATGATAGGATAGTTTTAATTTTTCTTTACTCCAGCAAGTATTTCATATTTCACTAGTACTTTCATCTGTCGTCTCCCGATCGATTATTCATTCAAACTGGCCTGCACTGATCCTGTGTTCATTTGCTCGCTAGCCGACATTTTCCAGCGCTCAATTTTCTATTTCTAATTTTCCTGCCTCAGCTCGACGTTCGTCGGTTGCCCCGATGAACGGCGTCCTCGCAACCCTTTCCGTCGCCGTCGTGCGCGTCATCCGGGGGGTGAGAGTGGATCTCGCGATTTTTCGCTCTTTGACTTACTGGATATAAATCGTGGCCGCGAAGAAGAGGACTCTGATAGCTCCCGAAGCTCAGTCACCGACCAATGTCGTTCACCTGCTAATCGATCGTCCGCAGGAGGCTCACTACTCGACACTAACCCAGCGTCTCCGGTCGCGCCTGATGCGCCTGTTGTAAGACCCCTTCCAACTGTTTCGAATCCTAGCTCACGTGGGGCTGCGTTATTTGCTTGTTTATTCGAATCAGCGGATGCTAATCCATCTGCACCCGAAGTCTCACCCACGCTTCCCCGAGAAATGGATTCTGCCGCTCAGTCATTGGATTCGACGGTGTGTTGTAGTTTGGTTGTTGAGTTTGTGTTCTACTTGCACTGCACACCCGCATATGCCTTTGGGTTTCTCTTCGATTCAGTACTTTCTTGAGTGAATTGTCTCTGCCGGATATCACACTAACATTGTTTTAGGATCGGTATCTTTTCATGCACTTCACTCCCAATTTTAACCTTGTGCGGCCTTGAGTTGCACTCGGAGATATGATCTCATCGAGATTGCCGTCTTTTTCTGTCCTAAAGATCGACAATTCGTATTTGTACAAGACTTTCACAAATTTTTAAATGGCAAGCAAACAATTCTTATCTATGCGCAGTTGAACTGTTCACTGAGCTTGGCAATTTTGTTGTAAACATTTCGTCATCAATCGAGGTGACATCATCAGTGCGTAGTTGAGTGGCATGCATTGGCTTAGAGGAGCCGCAGTGAGAGTGCATTCAACTTACGTATGGTCGCATTTTCCGTGACAAACTGCGCCCAATTTTCACTTCTTGCGAGTGTGAATTGTTTCCCGAATACTACGCATTCCTGTGACTTGCACGATGATGGGTATATGCGTCAGTTGTTTAGCGTTTCGCTGCTTACATTGTTCACTGCGAGGTTAAAGTACATTACCGGTGGACAATAATATGTGCCACCGTTGCGTATCAATTAGCAATGCTACCCTCCCTCTCTCTCTCTCTCGTTATGGGTCAATTGGCCAGGTCTGGAGGTTGCAAGTCGTCAGGTTTTTCTAATCTCACATAAACTCGGCCCATCAATCACAGCTGGCTTGTGTACACACACAAAGATACACATCCGTACACGTCCTGTGCACACGGAGGCCTCCGGCCGACCCAGCAGGATGCAATACATGCTTATCTGATCGGGTTTCAGTAACATAGACTGAGACTCGGCAACCCTATTATGTGATAGGGATACACGCTGTGATTCGATGCAATTTTTCTCACAGCGTCTCTTCTAAGTAGCGATGCTGAACGCACTCTGGCCGAATACATCCCACTGAATGGCGACGTGTGTGCGGCTTTCTTTGGTAACTTTTACTTGGCAATTCTGGTCTGAAGACGTGGTGTCTTTTCCTTCCTTCAGTGCGCGCTTCACACTACTACAGAGCGGATGTCGCTGAGAATGAATTCTGTCTGAAGCTTTCAGCCACCATTCGTGTGTCTATCAGTATAGACATTATAATTGCTCTTGGCTACATAAATCTCAAACTGGACAACCCACCGTGTACCGATGGTCATTTGGAAGGCCGTTTTAGGTTCAATATCTGTCGTACCAATAGCGCCACTCGGCTTCATAAGCCACGTTCCGGTCACAGCAGCACCATATTCCCTCACTGCCGTTGCTATCGCACCACTTGACCTGTACCGTGCATCACGCTATTCTGGACACAGAGAGCCTTTATTGTAATCGGTTACAGTTGGACATATTCGGCACATGATCATCGATTTATTTTAAGTACCCACCTAGCTTTCTGTCAACACCAGTTCATCTCCTCATGAGATTCACTCATTGTTAGCCAAACTTCGATCTTACACCTCAATTTAACCCTGTTTTCATGACGTAACGTGAGTGCCCCGAACGTAAATCGTGGTCTCCACCAGTGCTGAAGTATGACGTCATCAGAAACGCACTGTGTGCCAAGTTAAAGGTGCTCTAATCACAGATGCATTTTTGAAGCTGCGGCCAATTCGAATGGAGTACGTTAACCAACTCCGATGAGCAACCACTTTCAGTGTGTCTTTGTTGCTTCGGAAGGTCGACCAACCAAAGCCATCGAAGTTCATCTGAAACTAGTGATATCGCTTAGAATAACCGAGAACTCTTCTAGCTCACTCGCAAATCCTGCATGGACTTCAAGGAATGGGAAAGGTGGACAGATGCTTCATTCTCATATCCACTAAGCTGCTTTGCTGATCGAGCGTTTTCCATGGAAACTCTGCTGACTGTGTGTATATGTAACCAGTATTGTCGTAGAGAGGTTAGCCTACCCATCCAACGGCAATCGCATTTTTCCGTCTAACTACGACCATATGTTTTTCACGGTTGTGCCTGGCCACTGCACTCTCGGTAACGAGAGCGCTTTTAATGACCCTAACTCACACCACGGTCTCCGTAAACGGTGATATATCGCACCCCTCCCCGTCTGACTACTAACCAATCTTGTTGTATCCTGCGTTGCGATTTATGCATGGTTTATTTGGAATCAGCTGTTCAATTTTACTCCAAGTGGCCTCGGTTTCGATGTGTTTTAGTTGGACTAGCGGTCACTGCAAGATGCATGCATCCGCTACCTAACATTAACGTTTAACACTACGTTCTTGTCTTTCTTTCTTCTTCTTCTTATTCTTTCGGTAGATCACGATGGGTGTGCGGCAGCGATGCATCAGTTCAAATGGCTGATGTACTCCTACTGCTGGTAATGATCCGATCATGCGGCGTTACGCTGTTGATTTTCTAGGACAGGCTTCCGAAGTTGCCAGCAGAGAAGTTGTCTCAATCCATAGCTGGGCGCTTTTTATGACCTATCTACTTAGCTTCCGCTTACTTGCTCTGATAACATTAAACTTCGGTGAAATAAGTTCCCTGTTGCTATGCATAACACACGGGTTTCCCATCGCGGCACCCAATCATCACCGCTTTGCACACTGGATGTACCCAATGTTGATGAACCTGCTGCGATCGAAACGAAAAATGCCTGTCGAAATTAGACACAGCTTGATGAAGTGAAGTTTCACTGGTCATCCAGATTGGTGAGTACCAGGCGGTAGTGGATCTTTGTAGATTTGGAGGACTCGGCAAATTGGGGAATAAATTGCTGCGGGCAACCTCCGCATGCTCTTCTGAATTGTCCACGTATCTGGTCCGAAGAATCCTTGTTTCGCTGCAGCAGCCATGAGCAGCACTGGTACCTTTATTTCAAACGAGGGCGTTTGGATTGAGAAATTCCCAGAGTGGTTCAGTTATCTTCCTGTCTTAGGTACTTTGTATTCAGGTGGTTCAAACTGATCTATGATCTGTCAACTTGCGGCTTGCAGCTGAATCTGGTGTTCGAAACCCATCCGCGACCCTTACATGTTTACGCACGGCTGATCCGGATTCCCTGATATCTTCACTGTATAAAGTTGATGGTGAGGTGTTGACACCGGTTTGACTAGATAATGCGAAGAGAGTCCCAGGCAACTGGGACAAATTGATCATGATGGTAATATTTCAGAGTGTCAGTCGAGATGTGCATTGCAATCACAGAGGTTTCAGCTAGATGCTCAGTAGTGATAAAGCTACTTGACTCCATTCTCGCGACCTTGCTGCGAACAGATGCCACACAAAAATGATGAACGGGAGAGCTTTCTTACTGAACGAAGCCAGCGTAGGCTGTATTTTCGCTCAATGGTAGATGCCAGAGCGTGCTCACATGTACCGCATGACAACTTCTATTGGGTCTCACCGCAAGAGCACGTTCGATCTAGCGGATGGCTCCTTGTTTTTCCAAGTGCCTACTTTGATAGCTGTTCCCATGAGATATTTGAGCATTTTATGAGGAATTCAGGTCGTTTGCTCTTTTATTCTTTGTGATTAATGGTGGTGAAGATGATTATGGTAATCAAAGGTTTTGGTGAGCCAAACATTTTCAATTTCGGATGCTTCAATATACCTTCGGGAGACATTGGAACTTTGGCACTAGCTCCGCCTTTTTGGGGTCGTTTTCGTGCTTTATCTCCCGGAACAAGTTTACCAGCTGGTTTCCTGGATATTCTTCGTTCGGACGGTGACCGAAAGGACTGCAAGTCTCCCCAAGTAATCCGGAGGTCACCGGTTCGAATCCACATAGGTGTGGGCGCCTCGCTGTGTACCTTCCCCTCGTACGATTGGTGGTGGTCCCGTGGCAGCAAAGCGTCGGTACAGTGTGCCGGCGTACTGCGGATTCCTTTTTTTACTAACAGCCTTCACCTGTCTCTTGCGATTCAATTTAAGGGCACTTTGCCTTATTAAATCTAAAGTTTTCTAGTACGTTTACCCTATATGGGGCTGATTATTATGTTGCTTAGTTGGTGATCTCCAATTGACCACTTCTCCCTCATTAGATTATCATCTTTTTATGCAGTTTATTTCACGGAACTTCTGTGCTCAACTTTTATGGCCATGTCTGTTGAACAGATGCCCTTCTCTTTTGACGCTCTCACTCCTTTGTGCACTTGACTATGATTTTATTGATCTCGCTTGTTTTTGTGATTCCCTTCATTTCATGCCGTTTATCCTTTTGTCACTTTACGTTTGACTACTTTACTGGATTGCTTTTTCTTCAGATCAACCGCAAACCCCGTCAAATTGGGCCACTCCTTCCACCTTCGGTGGGTAACTCCATTGCTGACGAACCCGACGACAAACCCCCTTCCATGGATCTCTTCAAATCTATATTCGCTTCTGATGAAGAGTTAAGTTCTTCTGATGCTGAATTGGATGTTGCAACCAGTACTGCATCCACCATTGAAAACCGAACAGTCCCTCGTCCTGATTTTGAGAACAGAGCAAACGGCTGGAGTCTGTTTGATCCGCCCGGCAATTCTACTTCAAACGACCGAGCATCATCTTTGGTCGCTCACTTGTTCGAACCAACTGGAGACGCAGGTGAGTGGCTTTTACAACACGTACCTTTCTTTTATTATTTGGACTATTGCTCGTTGCCATCGTCATTATGCTTGTGCGGTAGCATATCGTCAGTTCAAATAACTGCCGGTGGATAGTTCATCTCTGTTTGGTTAACAGAGGTTTTCGATTTCTTTAACCTCACGCATCTTCTTCATGACACTTTCCAGATCGTTATTCTGTAATTTTCATATCTCATGGGGACTGTTCAACATTTATATGTGCTGTTCTCTCCCGTACACAGTACTGTTGCATTCACGTGACCACAATGTGGCCTGAGTATCGTGCAGTCGCCTTAATCCCCGACCCTTGATAACAATCTGCAGCAGTTGGCCAGTAAAGCTACACTGGGTTTGTTGGAGTCATGATAGCCTACACTGTTCAAATAGTCAAGCAGCTGCATAGGATCGCCCACAGACCTACAGAAAACTACGTCGCCGACTATCCGCTACATCAGCTACGGTCCCAATGATCCAATTGGTCAAGGTTTACTATAGGAATTACGGTTCGCATTGAGATTGCGCATCGCGATCCAGTCGCAATACGAGTGCTTCACAATGACCCTCTAAAGCTAGGCAACCTTTGTTTAAGTCATAATAGACTACGCGGTTCGGGAATCTGACTTTCCAATAGTCACATAGTTACACAGGTCCATGTGCTACGTCACAGGTGCATAAACTACAGGAAGGCTGACGGGGAGAGAAGGGGACACTCAGTCACCACCTTTGATCGAGGTTCACGATTAAGAGAAGGGTTTGCGGTGGTACACGCTGTTTACACAATTCGGTTGCATTAGTATTACTACAATGTAGTCTACACATCGTTTAGTCTCTTTACTGCTCATTTCTTGCCGGCAAATTGCAGCTTTTCTGCCTAGAATGCAATATGTCCAGTTCGGTATGCAAAGCTTCCAATTTAACCTGAAAATCGTATATATATATATATATATATATATATATATATAATCCCATGCTGAGGCTGATGTTGCAATCTTGATGCTTCTTCACCGCGGTTGGGCTAAACCAACTTACACTTAAACTAGGTCTTTTTAAGCTGGATAAATTTCATTCCACTTTATTTGGTTTGTTCTGCCTACCTGAATAATCTTCTATTAACTGGCCACATTACTTACGTTAATTGCGCTTATCTTCGGTAACTTTGTTGCGTTTGTAGCATTTTTAAGTAACTTGTGGATACTTTTTCCTTATCGCGTATTCGTTGCTAACCAATTTACTTTATATGCTAATTTAGCGAAGAGTTATGCCACCGTATCTGTATGCATTATTCGATTTATTTTATTTCATCTTGTCGTTTCAAATGATTGGCTGTTGTTTGATATCTCCCGGTGTGGCTGCGCTTGATGTGTATGTTGACAAGGTGCCTACCTGTCTATTACCCACTACCTCGTCCATACTGGCTCTAGGAGACAGTTGGTCGTTGCTGGAGGGGACAGGGTGCACGGTCCTTGTGGCCGTGCTAGGCTCAAAGAGCGGTTTCATGCACTCAGTGTGGAGCGGACTACGGTCCAGCCACCGCCTTGTGTGCGGTTGATTCCCCAAATACAGCGTGCTTGTGTTTGCCTGTGAAGGAGTGTGGGCCGGCTCCGTTGATGAAACGTGGTTCCCATCCACATGCCTCCCGGTCTTATTCCTTCGGGTTTACACTGGATATGGGTGTGTGGATGGAACTGTCTTTGTTGAAGCGCAAGGCGCCCACGGTGCCTTAGTAGACGCAGGCGTTCTGTGGCTGTCCCCATGGAGACCGCAGGGACAAGCAACTCCGGAATTGGATACCGCCAACCGTATATTACCGAATATAAGCCGATGCATTTTGGACAGTTTTAAAAAAGTTCACATGCAACTTCCACCACGGAATTCACTGCATACCTCTGCTCTTATCTCCCATTCGCACAACCCACTTGTAACGGACGGTATTCCAGACAGGGATTTTAAGTGCCTATGGACACGTTACTATTGTGTCGAAAATTTCCGGTATTTTGCACATCTGACATTCATCATGGATGGCAGTAGCAAATCCAAAGCCCTTGAACATTATGTTATGCCAGGCGATCCGGTGCCTTAAAATTACAGCGTCGTCACACACCACTGACCCTTGAACTTTGCTCTCACCCACTGCTCTACTGTGGTTCATATGCATGAGGCCCCGACTACGCGAGGTGACCTGTCTGACACCCTCTCACCTTACCATATATTGTCGGCTATCTTACCTCTTTCATGTGACTTGATGTCTGGTCGATACACTATCCGGTGCGGTGAAAATCTGTTCTAACGACCCTACGCCCCACTAACCGCGATTATGAGCTTACGGTCACCATAACTGACCAATAATAGAGCAGGTTTCACTTGAACTCACTCAAGTGAGAACAAGTAGTGCTGACGTCGAAATCGTAGAGAAACAATTTTGTTTCTCTTTTGCTGATTTTTTAGTGGTCGGCTGATAAATGGACTTACCACTTTGAACAAGTTAGATGTTACTTGCGTCTCTTTCATCAAATATTATGCTTGGTCTCAAAGCAATTCTTTGCTAACTTAGGTGTTCCAGATTTCTTGCTTCCAAATTTTTGGTACACCTGTCAAATAGGACTGGCTAAACTTTACACACAGTTGTGCTGTGCTTTGCAGAGCTATTATGCCGCTATCGATAGTTATTTTTGTGCTTCTCTTGATTGTTTCTTTTGTGTTGGGCTGCCCAAGTGACTTATACTTGATCCAGTTGAAACATTCTCACTCTCAGTGTTCATGAATGCTTCACCTTCTCCTATATGCTTTACTGCATTCATGCCACTTAGTGCCACAATTAAGTATAAATATAACATAATCACCCTTCAGTAGACTGCCGCTGTTTGCGCGCACTTACCATCCCGAGACCACTGCCACCTGCTGTATTCTAGCGTTTTTTGGCTAATGCAGTCCTTTTGTCTGTGTTTTTCTATCGCCCATGTATGCAACCTTTACTCCTTTGTGCTTGTTTCGTAGGTGCTCCGCTCTCTGCCCTGTCACAACTGACAACAAAGCGTCATCCGAGACCTCTCTCAGATCAGCGACATCAACCGCATTCCTCTCCCGATCCAGCTCTTCTGTATGGTCCTGCACTACCTCCCATCTTGAGTAAGTTGTTCTGTTTACTTTGAACTGTCATTGGTTTGTTTGCCGCCGTTCCGCAATTGAGTTGAGAATTGAGCTCAAAGCTAACGCTGCTTAATCCGATTGCTTTGTTTATTAAAAGGGAACCTGTCACCCATGGGCCCGATTAAACTCACTTCAGTCGCTTTCCCCATCAACAATGACAACAGACCGTACTGCATCCGCATTCAGAAAGGATATATCTTCTTCCATGCGCGTTTATTATTCACATTACTCTCCCGTGTCAGCAAACATGGCGTTACTAAGCTTCGTCCAGTAACCATGGCAGTTAACTGATTACAAAACCATTAGCCTCTGGGTATCACTACTTTTCGAATTTCGTTCAATAGCCAGGTTGGCGGCGATAGTAACTTTATTATCCTGTTCCTGGCGTCGTATTACACTTCGATATGTGTTGTACGTAATAGGGCTCCCGTGTTTTGTACCTCCAGTTTCAGCGTTGTTTCTATCAAAGATAATCGTTTATCATCAATTCGATGTCCTCCTCGTTCATTGACGGACACCCGGGATATCACTTGGCATAGCCGTTAGCGTGAACTTTTAGCGCAGTTCCATCATCCTCTTTAGTTTTTCATAGTTATCTAACTTGGCGGCTCTTTTGCCGCTCGCTTCTTTTGTCTGACGACACTCATGTGAAACCTTTACATCACCGTATTACCTTTTGGTTTTCCCTGCGTCTTCTGTATACATTTTTTGAGGTTTTGGGTGTTAACTACCTACAGCCAACAAAGAGTTGACCGGCTTCGATTCGCAAAATTACGCCTCAGTGATTCACCGACGCCATCCGCCGTCTGTCTCCGTCTGTATCCCCACTATTTAATACCTTTTCCGATGAATGATCGGCACGCAATTTAGTTACCTCAGTGGGCGTGCATAATTTGCTTATACATTAATTTCACACCTGCCCATACAGAACATGAGAAACTGCTTGTCTTTGAAATTTTGCTTAACACAAACCGAGTCTTTGCTTTTGGTTTGTCTATACCCCTGATGTCCCAGTACCTCCAGGGGCATCAACACAGATTGGCGTCTCGAGTTAGTCCAGCTACACCCCAGCGGGAAATCATGTCGGTTAAGTCCACTAGATTCTCATGCGCAGCACTGGCGTCCGTTGAGTCCGTTATGGATCTGTTGATTTCCATCTGGTCTGCAACTTACCTTTGTCCATTAAGCTCTCATCTAGTGGACTATGCTTCTTGTTGCGGCTATTAGTGGTTTGGTTGAACTGTCACATTTTGATAGCTTTTTAGTTTGCCACTGCTAACTGTCTGTGTTACTCGTTCTCCTCCAACTTAAATACATTATCACTTCAGAATCGTTCCAGTTAGCTTTTTTGTTGTTTCTGCCATTAGATATTTCCAGCCACTTTTGCATTCTCACTGTATTTCAACTTGTCTTTCTCTGTGAATCATCAGATCCGTTCCATTGAACTCTTACATCACGTGCTACTGTTTCACGCTTACTCCGTATCAATACTTGAAGTTTTTCCGCCACTTCATCTATGCTGTTGCATTTTCACTAATGTTCCGTTACCTTTTAGACGAATACGAAAGTTCTACCTCTCTGCTTCAACAGACCACCATATTGGAACAGGTCATAGGGACGGTCAGCGTAAGTTTTCTGTCCTCACCTCCTTAGTTTGACCAGATGTTTCCCTTACAATCTCATGGCACCATTTTTCAAACTTTTCTTGTTTTCGTTTGTTCCGATTTCATCTTCGAATTACCTTCGTTTATTCGATCCCGCGTGAAGCGAAAGCTCACCCCTGACCAATACAAGTTCATCTTCTCGATGAGCCTATTCCACGACTTCGATGGGGGGAGGGGGGTTGGGGGCAGAATTAGATTGATGGCCTCAGGTTTTTGTGTCCTCTACAACACAGATAACGCTTCTGTTTATGTTTGGACTTTCTGTTGGCTTGCGACACGTCCCAGTCAACTTATCTCCTGTTGTGGAGTTACACTGTGTTGCGTTACTGTTCTTCCCACTTGTTAATACGCACAAGTCGAAGCCTTCATATCCGATATTTACGCCGGTATAACGAAATAGTGGTAGGTCGTTGCGAACAGCAAACCGTTCACCGGCTTACTATGGATTTATTACGGATTAAAAGCAAGTGCTTATCAATTTCTGTATGTGAGATCAAAAGGTGAATGCATCAAGACAAAGTAACACGTAACGGTGGACTTACCGCAATTCTCGCATGTACAAACTTTTGGTTGCATTTTCGCATGTACCAGTAACTTGAGTTAAGTCATCTAAGCATATTTTGCGTTTCGATCAGGTTTATCAGTCTCCAGAAATCCATCCACTTTGTAGACATAAGCTTGATGAACACGTACTATCGACTGCCTTTGGCGTATTGCGTTTGTTCCCATTCCTCCAATCCACCTTCGGTCCATACACCTTACTCACGCTCGACGATTTACACGATGATTCGGATTTGTTTTGCACATTTATGGTTTACAAACACATGAGCAGCAGATCCGATCGAATTTACGCACATTGAAGCCAGAGGAGGTAAGAATTGTGCGGAGTATCTAGGAGCATGGTTCGACTCGAGATAACTTCCTCGGATCGACCGACAACCGGGTACTGCCGTGTGCCATCTACAGCTCGTGGCGACGTGGTTGATTATGTTCGGGACTGCATTCTTTGGTGACCGTCATCCATCCCCGTACGAGCGCTTACACTGAGAAGTTGTATTGTTGTTATGAAGGGTCTGATGAACAGCCAATTGATAAACGCATTTGTCAGTGAGTTGGACATAGGCTACCGAACTGATATCCAGAATGCTCATCATTGACTGAATTTAAAACTCAAACCTCACAACGATTACTGGGTTCTCACTCTTGATCATTTGGATGTGTGAAGAGACTTTGTATGAGTAGAATTTCCTCAATCTAGACTCAGCCGAACGGTCATCACACGCCCGGAATGGCATTGTACGACCGTTTCTTCCTTTCGGAATCATCAGCATTGCGTATTCCATCTGGACGCTGTGGGGCTGGAACCCGCAACCCAACTGTTACCATTCCGTGGTAAAGATCACCGGACTTATGAAGTTTATTTTTAGCCACTTCTGGCCAACGCTCTATGTCATCGTAGACTGCAACCTCAAAATGACACATTGCTTTTGGCTTCGATCGGGCACTGAAATCGAGTCAAAACACAGCTCTTCACTTGGATCCATCTCAATTGACAGGTCTCCACATACCTGCTGAGAAGGACCTCGATGCCCTTAATGTCGTGAGTCATTGATGATCAGGCACCGCGGGAGACTCGAAGCTCATAATCCTTGTATTACGGATTGCGAGCGCAGCCACCTTAAGAACCACTGTCTTATACTTGTGTTTCGTCTTTACACATCAACTCAGAGGGAGTTTGTGTCCAGGTTGGATGGCTGATACCGTGTTCGAATGTTGGTAGACCTACTGTTGGATGATACCATAGATTTGAAAGGAGACTTCGCACCTTATGGACGTGACTAATCGAATTGGTAGCGGTTTCTCGCTGATAAGCACAAGCACAGCATCGATGAAAAGAAAGGAGCAATGGATAAGGGATAGCATCATCAGTGACCCGGGGCTTCGTGGGCACACGTAGCTCTACATGTTTTGTTTAAGGGCCCCACACATTTAACCTAACAACCTGGCCCATAAAGCATTGGCGGACAGACCTAGCTCCGGAATGCAACTATTTATTCCTATTGGGAGCTATCTGAAGCCGGTCTCATGCAGCCTCGAACGACTCAGAACGATTCGTCGGTATTTTTCTACTCTCTCGTGGGATCGCCTTCCACCTCCGGGAGTTTAGTTGTTTTTAAACACTTCAACCAAAAGCAACTTATCTTGACACTAGCATCCATTGAGCAAGAGTGACGCTCTCCCGTCATCGGGGACAACCGTTGGGGTCCGTGCTCTGCGTCAATCGAGTTGCTTTTACACCAGATAGACTCTTGCTTCCAGTGGCTAAGTTTCGAAAGAGTGTCACCGACCCTTCCATATTGCCTATTCTCCGTTCGCCTATCTGCTAAAAGTAGCTCTGAAGGTACCTCGAAATTATCGACTGTTGATGCCCATTGGATCACTGAGACACGGAGGACGTCGCACTACGTTATTCTACATTGTTCTTGCAATAGGTTATTCATCCGTGGGATCAACAGTCGAATACTGTTATGTTCACCCTCTGCTTTCTGGCCACAGATGGTCCGGTGCCGCACTCGGTAGAGCGTGAACCCGTTCACCCTGAAGTAGTGACTTGCTTCGTATCCTTGTTGTTCGTCCACCTGTCGTGCTTTGCTAATACTGCGCACATTTTTGTCACTGTTTGTGGGAACGCTCTGAAGCTGGTGGTTGTTGTCTGTTATTCCGATGCGAACATATAAACAACATTTACATTTGCATCAGTTATTGGAGCTTGTATTTCCTTTTACTGTTATTGTCAATCAAATGCGGAGATCTCTCGCCATTGCCATCGGATTGTTTTGTATGCATGTAATATTTTCATGAAGTTTTCTCATTGCATTTTACCACAGGCCGATGAAGTGCACTGGACTGATTCTCGATTGGTCAAAAAGAACGAAAAGCGAAAACACAAGCATGGGAAACACAAGCATCCAGATAAGCATAAGCATTCCAGCAAGCGGAGGCGAAATCACTGAGGATCTATCTCGTTTGACTCCCAAGCTTGAAATAACTTTGCTCTATTGCTGTACAGTTACCTACTTTTTCTGATCTTTGTGAAAAAAAGGAATCTTTTCAACCGGCAATTCATCTTTTTCAACTTTTCTGCACACATTGTGACATTGTAATGGAACTGACGCACACCCACCTACATTTCACGTGTGAACCTATGCTAGGTCCAAGTTTTAAGATGGTTTGCTAACAATCGGTTCACCTATTTACTATGTTGTGGTTTTGCTTTTGACACAAAGAGATAAGTCGCCAATTACGTACATTGTATGGTTCTCCACAAGCCCCTCTGGAATGTTGGTTCCTCAAATTGCTCCAAGAATCTTTCAAATATCGTGTACCAGTCCCTGTTTTCCCCTCGCCTTTTTTGGGCTTCAACAACGCTTTCACTGGCGACCCACGGGGATACGGTTGGTGCCTGTTTTTCCCCGTTTACTTCTTCGTCCTTTATGCCGCTTCTGCACAACAGGTAGTCTTTTTTTCCTCACTGCTTCGTCGGCGTTTCATAATTCTTCCCCTCATTGGATTCTTTCAAGGCAATTTTGGTTGACTTTGTACAGCTCTTGCTAACCCATATGCAAACCGAAAAGCAAGTTTCACCACTTGGGTGAGGTTATTGCGTTCCACTTCGCCTATCTCCAAATCTGCTCACGGTCGCTCCAGTTAAGTCTGTTCGTTGTGTGCGCTCCTAGCTGCTTCGGTTAGTGGGTGATAAATCAGAGATAAGTGTCTGTGATACGATCTAAACCGTGCGGGTTATATTTGTCCTCTGGTATAAAACGACACGATCTCCTCAATGAATATTATTGAATACTGTACGCTTCCGACGACGTCTCTGGTCCTACTCTTTCTCGAGTGTCGGACATTGTTATGGGGACCCAACGTCCCCATAATTCTCATAAGCTTAAACCACGGAAGGCAATAAGACTCGATTCAAACAAGTACACACGTTTCGATCAGCCTTCCAACTCGTGAGACATTCACGTTTCGATTGGCCTTTGTACCTCAGAAGACATTCCTATTTCCGGCCAATCTTTCTTTCAATCATAAGACATTCTTCCTTTTTTACCTAAGAAACGTTCAGTTCTCCAGTCCAGCCTCCGCATCTACCAACATTCACTTTTCAACATGTTCAGCTGACATATTTGCATAGTACCAATTTAGTTACTTCCAGGGTTTACTTACGCAAATCATTGGCGCCATCGAGGTATAAAAGAAACGCTGGACTGCGCTGTAATCGCCTTGAGCCTGACCGGTAAAAGTGCCCACGCGAAAGGCCTGTCTGTTGTCTTGTTCTCTTGGGTTTGGGTAGCTGCGTGTGAAATTGCGTTCGATCTAGGAACCCGTTCAACTCACGCGTATTAACCATGTTGCACCTAAGTCTCACGGGTCGTACAACTTCGAATTTTCTCGGTTACTTTGTTGTGCGTGAAATAGTTCCAAGCCTCATTCGTTCGGTCGACTAGGAGAGTTGATATCAGCGTGGCGTAACCAAGAGGCAGTTATAACAGACATCACACTTAGTCGCGATCTCGTCACTTCTTATACCACGCATATCCTGTTGTTTACTTTATCTCGACTCATACAACAAACAATCGTGCGGTAGCGTAGTTCCATCTGCAGCCGGTGCAAGCCACAAGCTAACAGAAGTTACACTTCAGTACTTATTGTGGATTCTTCCAAACAGTTTCACCACATTCCTCTTTCTTCCAGTTGCGCATACTGAACCTTGGGACTCACGAGCTAAGGATAACCTATTTTCGATCCCAACTGGAGAGGGAATCACTTAGGCATCGCTGCATCATGTTGTCAAGCCCTGCCGTCTCACGGGCACTCAGGAGTCATGACAGTGCACCGCAGTCAATCTTGTCTCACGTCGCTGCTTCGTTATAAGCTAGTGCTGAGTCCCAATCCAGTAGCGTCCGGCGAAGTTGCACACCGCTGATGAGTCACAACAGGGCGAAAGGGGCATTTACCGCTTTTCCACATTTGTAGTGACTGTCTAGCCACAGCTGTTCACGATGAATCCATTCAGTGCACTTCAAACACTCCCTACCACATGGAATTATGATGCATAGGCAACCTAGATACCTGCTCTTTTTTCTAATTTCGGTTCTTGAATATAGCGTTTCTTCAATAACTACGCATTTTTTGGAGGCTCTGGTAAATGACCTCAGCCAGGGTTATAGCAGGCGGTCATTGGGAACAAATGGACGTCAGCGCGTCTATACCACAATACAACCGACCTTGCTAGAGAAACGATCATCGTGCTGACATAGTCCGTTTTTCGTTATTATATCTGCTGATTGGAGTGTTGGACGGCCTCTTTGTAGCCAAGATTTGCCGAGACTCTACAGCATCGCTGAAATTCGGCTCCAGAATGCGATCTGTAACTGGTTAAAATGACCATACTGGAACTGTTTTCGCGGAAATGAGTGTTTGTCTACAGCTGTTGATGCTCGGCGACCACTGAAGTTGTCAGATGCAACTGCAGCGGTGAGGATTGTGGAGTGCCGCGGGATAATATTGCTGATGTATTTAAATGGTGTTGCCGTTTTGCTTTACGTCACGAACGCACTCACTCACCTTCGTCTCAGAATGCGCGTGGTTACAGTAATTCCTTACCTTCGTACTTTTCAAATTCCTCCTGCTTTACGGGTGACTACTGCAAAGGAGCTTCATTCGCCGCCGTCTATATGAACAGGATACTGGACAGATATTTTCTCTATGATGCTCGATCCTAATTCCGTGATTATCAACAGCATTTTTCTCATTAATTGGCAGATTCTTTGGCCATCTTAATAAGATAGCCGGGACGTTTGGACCGCTTATTTAACCCGGCTCATCTGCATGTAAATTTTAGTTGACTGGCTTCGCTCTACATTGTCGTGGATTATTTGCCTCCTTCGGCTAAAGCTGTAATCTTTTACTGCTGTGTCTACTGGCCGAAGCTAACCGCCAATGCATTCTTGTTTTTGAGGGCATTTGACGCGCTTCTGCTGGCATCGTATTATTCTCCTCTGTACTTCTCTTCTCAGCGCTCGTCCCCGTTAACGTCGTGCAAACTAGTATCTTGGTATCCTGTACGCACTGCTGCTTTTCTGTGGTGGCCATCAGCGTGCTTATTTGGAACAGCGGTTAACGTTTTCCATACAAGTTTCGCCTAAATGAGTTCAGTCATCTGATTTCAGCCGGCGCCACGTCACCTCACTGTATTTCCTCCGTCGAGCGCAGTCCACCTCTTCGTGCCACAACCGCTAATTATCTTTGTCACCAAATCTGTTTGCTGTCATTTTACTGCTGTGTAATCATGTAATTTTGCTACTTTCGAATACTTTCCTGATGTTGTTGTCAGTTTTAATTACGGTCAGTTGTCTGACTGTTCAACCGATGTGAAAGTAACACTCGTGTCATTAGGTAGACAATTTTCGTGCTTTCATGTGCCTTAGCAGCCTTCTAAAATACACCAGTAATCCACCTGCCTAATAAATCATTCAATGTTGTCTCTGCGTTGGCCGCATGATGACGGAATTCGCCATACTGAGTGCCTCCATAGTAGCCAACCTCGTCGTACACATCACTCGGATTTTCGGGGTAAAAATACGGCATCGCGAAGGGAAATGAGCACAATGTGTCCGGATGCACAGCGTAAAATCACCTGGACGTGTGCGAGTGGCTGAGCTTTTTTGAGCTCGCGCGTCGCAGTCAAGCGTTGCCGTTTTCTCTCATCTTATCCAAATGAGTGGTAGCATACCGTACACTGTCGACTGCATGTCGCGACCGAAGCTATCGTTCTCCATCCAAATTTGGATTCATTAGTTGCTTTTAACTAACTTACTGCCTTAATTCCAGTAACACTGAGGTATAGGGTATAGGCCAGAGGTGTCCAAACTTTTTGCAAGGAGGGCCACATTTTGTGAGGTAAAATTATGTCGGGACATATACAGTCAGACATTAAGATAATAACGACAATTACACATGTGCGAAAAGAGTTCAGACCTGATGATGAGGACGCGGGCCGGACTTTGGACATCCCTGGTGGTATAAGTCAGCGACGGTTGCCATCATTATCCTCCACATCTGGCGTTTAATCGCTTTGCAACAGTACCCCATGTAAAGCATCAGATACCACTTGTATATGGTCCCACTGTTTGTTTCAGTGTGCAGAGATGCATTTCCAACGTGTTTCCGACTAATGTAATGCTTTAGGACTAGAAGCATGAACTGTGATCCCAACGTTTCTCCCTCGATTTGGAGTCCCGCTATACCTATTTGACGAGTACACATGGGTAAGAAGCCGTTGGTGGTGTTCATTATTGAGTTTCAGCAGCGCCCAGAAGTTATATGCCTCAGATATAATCACAGTGACCGATTCGATCTAGCATCACTTCTGAATGAGTCGCAGTCCCAATTGAGCTTACGTGTCCCAATCCATGGTATGTTTCAAAGTGACGCATGTGTGTATTGCTTATTTTGACCTGACAATGGGGCAATACTAATGCAGTTGCTCGTATCCATTTCAACTTCGGTAAGTATGTAGCGAGAACGACGCGGGAGGGGCGCAGAGTGTGTATTGCCACAACAATGTGCAACTCACCAACCCGTACAGATATGGACCGTGTTTCCCTCCCACGACACACCGCGGATGCGGATTTGTGAGACGGGCCATTCCATGCGCCTGCGAGCTTGAGCCTCGGAACAATCCCTCCATGTTTTCATCCAGTATCTCCGCTTCGCACTATACGATTCTGGCCAGCCAGGAGTCGTTCGAAAGCTAGCGATTTGTTTTCCCGTGGCTGCATCACTCGGCCCGCGTTCAGTCCTGTGGGCTTCGCTACCGGCGCATTTGTCTGATTCACTACGTTCTCGACAAATACCTCCTCTTTTTTTCTGGGTCCAGGCTCGTTACCAGATGTCGCTCGTGATCCGC